ACATCAAATGAACTCCAGCCAATTCTTCTTAACATCTTCTTTCAGATCTATCAAGTTGTGCATACAAGCACACACAACTTACAGCTGATAGCCATTTGTTGTATTACCATTCCTGCAGCTTATCAATGAGAGAATAATCCTCAGAAATTTAACTGTGTAGACTATTTCAGACCCCTGCCTCTTCAATCTCTTAAAATCAATGGAGTTCTCTTTTAATTCCTAAATTTACATTGTACAAATTTATATTTCCACCAGTTCTGAACTGCTTCCTTCACTTATAGTCCTGAAATTATTATGTTAATTAACTTTGTGTATACCTTTCAAGATTTGATCAACTTTAATGTCCCATTCCGATCTAAATGTATTCAGTTCCTTTAACCTGCTTATTTAGGGTATCCTTTAAAGTGCAAGATTTGATCCTGCTGCTTTTTAGAACTGATTCTCTACTTCTTGTACAGTTGGCCACAAAATTATAATAAGTGATCAGGTTAGATTTAAAGAAATTCAGTGCTGGTGCAGTGTGAATACAGTAGGCTCTCGACATTTGCGAGGGTTCGGTGAAGAGGAACATTGCCAATAGCCAACTCTGCGTATCACCAATGTCCTACAGTAAAAAGTATGTATGGTTAAAAGACATACAGTAAGTAACTCTCCCTTGTACTGTATGATAATTCAGGCACTAGTGAATTGGCTTTACAGTAAGTTAATTAAATAACATGGATCAATTAAAACAAACTTATATTAATTAGCTAAATAAAAAACATGAATCACTCCTCTGCGTCCGGCAGATGTCTGCACTTTCTCGCTCTGCCTCCATGATTAACACATCCCACGGAAATGAAAAGGGCAATAAGACTGTCAGTGAGCCTGCAAAGTTGTTTCCAGCCTGTTGTTCCCCATGCAGCGGACACAGAAACCGGGAGTGTTTGTTACAATACAACAAGACCTTGTTGAGATATGGATGCTGGGTAATGGGTATTTGGGCAGGAGGCAAGGATAGGCTCACACTCTGATTTAAAAGAAGTACTCATTTAAAATTTGCACTTAACAACCTTCATTTTGGTTTCATCCTGCTCTGCTCTTCTTCCATACAACACCACATTAGGCAGACTTAATGGTGAATAAGCAAATTCAGGAATGTTGAATTCACAGACTCTGCTGTGCAGTCCTTTTAAGTTGATGATTAAAATGTCTTGGCAAAATGTAAATCTTATGGACCCCAAACATAAGTTTTTATCTGAGAAATGTAACTATTTTTTTGTTTTGATATGTGAGTTTTAGGGTAGTATTTAAAAGTGTGAGCTTCTCATATTTCAGATTGTAATGGAATATGGCTATACTGCTTTCATATGCACAAGCCTAATAGGGATCTCTTAAATGTATTTTATCAAACCAGTATTTTATTGTATACGTTGGAACATTGATGAATTATCTTTTGCAGGTCATTATATGTTATAGTGAGAATCAAAATGAATTGCCTAAAATGACTCTGAAACTACACTTTCTTGATAATTAACCCAGCATGTTTGATTGCGGTATACTGTACACTCTGATTTCACTACTTCACTTCAATCAGTCTTGGGACACCAGGCTATATGTATGCAAACAATGTAGTCATTGCATACAACTTACATCCAGTTTTGTTTCTAACTCTTCTATTAATTATAGGCATGACTTCATGGCTTTTAATAGTTTGCCTTTGTAAAACAGTATTTTCTGAAGGTGAATGCTCCCTCTGCCATCCTCTTCGGGTAACCGTATCTGTTTGAAAAGCTATACTTGGGCTATGAGCACACATAAATCAGGTTTCAAAGTTTATGTAAGGCAAGCTGCAGTCTATGCGCCGCATTCATTACTCAGAACATCTGTTGAAAAGTCCTGGCTTTTAATCAACCAATCATCACCAGGCCCTTTGCAATTAAAGGCCAACTCTAAAATCAACTGGCAGATAGTCAGTGCTTTATATTAAGCTGTCTGCTAGCAGCTGTCTTTGTTAAGTAGAGGGGAACAGAGAAAGGGAGGGGGGGCTTATGAAACACCTGTCAGTTTCAAGATGTTTGGAGGATACGGCAATATGAGACAACAACACTTAAGCTTTTGTCTGTATAAAAAATAAAATCAGTTTCTCAGCAATTTGCCTTAAACCCTCCCTCCTGTAAAGCAAAAATAATTATTATCCAGGTATGCTATTGCTTTATTTTTCCTGTACAAGAAATTCTAATTCATAACCTGTTAATTTTAGAAAGTCTTTGAAATACTGAAGAAACCTGTTGAGTAAAATAAGGTTCTGTTAATGTATGTACAGGCATTCAATTCAATTTGTCTTCCCTTCTTGAAAGTACAGTATGTGCTGTATAATAGTTTTATACTACTGGATTCAGGTTATTGTTTATTTTTCTTTGTCTCTTGAAAAATTGAGGTGCTACAAGCTGTCAGTAGTAAGTATAGTGCCAGTATAAAATGTATTCACAGATAGAGATAAATGTTAACATGTTATTTGGAGATAATGCAAATATAGTATATAACATTTGCAGCACGTAAAATGATTTGAGTACCAAACAACAATGCAAAACGTTAGTTACATACCTTAAATCTGTTATTTAAAAGGAGGGAACTTTTCTGTTTGCTGCAACGTTGTTGTTTGCTGAAGGAAGCCAAGGAAGTCTGCTCACTAAGTTGCACAGCTCTTGCAAAAATGGCATACAGTAACTTTGGTGTAGCTGCACTTAATGTAACATAGAACAATGATTAAAAATATTTCTCAGAATTACATTTCATAGGCTGTTTCAATTCAATTTCTTGCATATCATGTTGTGGAAAGTTCAGCACGCAAAACATTAGCATATCATGAATAATGGTACTGTATATTAGAAGTTGTATTAGAGTGAAGCGATACTGTTAATTATTTAGTTGAATGAGTAATTACCTGAAGAGACATTGTTTATGGAAATGTTTAAAATGTTCAGAATCTCATGTCTTTAGATACATTTCTACTGGTAAATTCTTCTTTTTAAAAAGGTCAGATTATCTTTATTCTATTACAAACATTTTTAATTAAGGTTCATGTACTGTATAGAGTTGCACCTAATATTTTATTTGTTTTCCTTCATTGAATCAACAGAGGAATGCATTCCTCTGCAGAGCTTGGACATTAAACATCAAAAAGTAAAGGGGAAGTTAATGCTGGGGACAGTGCAAAAAGGATAAATACTGATAATAGCTTATAAAAAAACCTATGTTCTAAAGCTATTAGTAATTGCTTTTTCACAATTTCATCATTCAACAATAATACACTTATTCTTATGAGTATTTCCCTATTACATCTGCCAATTATAGCTTTCTGAAGTCCCCCGCTGGGTCTGTTTAAAATTAAATAGAAATATTCAGGAAACTAGTATATAATCGCCTTTCTTAAAGAAGCTTAGTTAAAAACAGTGGTAAAACCTGATGTAGTAATTTAAATTTTAAGTCCGCATTTCGAACCTGCGCTATCCAATGGAAGCCTGTCTTTGAGTACAGCACTTCAGATGTGATTAATTATACCCTGAGTTAAACATTCTTCATTGTTTCTTTAACTTACTATGCATGTTAAAAGGCATTAATTTTTCAAGCAGTATAAAAACATTTTTGAACACTTTCTTTAACAATAGTTAATAAAAGTTACAAAAAGGAGGTCCTTACTGTTGGGCACCTGTCTTTGATGACATACTGTATTTCATTGAAAACACATAATTCCTTGATATTTACCAGCTTAGAAATGGTAAAATAAGATACTAAAGTGACTACTCTTGAAAAACGGTTAAATGTACAATAGATGTGATTTTGAAGGTGGTTGCATTCTTATTTGCATTGTGACAAGATGATCGAATTGCCAAAAAAAAAAAAATTTTTAAAATTTGATCTTGTCCACTCCGACACAATTGTGATTTTCCCTCATGTTTGCATTTTTTTAAAGAACCCAAATCCTGTAACTTCTTAACCCTTTCTGTTCTTAATTGTGAAATGTCATGAAGTTTTGTTCTTGTTTTGTTGTCACAAATGATAAGTAGATAATTCAGCAAAATACAGATTTGCTGATTTTTAACCTACTGTACAAAGGGGGAGAGGTTTAGAAAATAACATGTCTTGCATATAAATTTAAAGATGGGTATGTGCAAAATATATTGTTTTTTTTATTTAGGAGTATTTTTACAGATTTTCTAAAATATCCATACAAATTTCTATGTCTTATTTCGTCATTTTGTGACCTTTCTAATGCTCACCCTTAAAGTCACTTTAACAGCATCCTTGTGATAAATATTAAATTTATTTATTGGGACTCAGTAATCTGTACATTGTTGTTGTGTGTCCCCTTTTGCCATGCCTTAGTATGCAGTATTTGTCTGTGGTGTGTTGAATGTCCTCAGTGAGTTCAGCGAACTGTTAATGAGCTAAAGAATCCTAATGCTTTGCATTTGTATGTTTTTAGTTAATCTGAGCACAGTGCACATTACAGGGATAAACAACTATTTAGAAGTGAAATAAATCAGGCAAATTGATCAGGGACTTGGGAACTGAATTGTTTTCTTAGACAAGATAGGCTTTGTTATTAATATAAATACAGTAAATGAAAATACTTAAAGGCCATATTGGTTGCATTATGAGTTAGGTTATTGTTATTATGGGTTAATGTTTCTTCTTATGGAAAGTATGTAACAGTGTTATAATGAGAAGAAAACTAGGCTTAAGTAATCTCATTTAAACTGTTTTTCAGTTGTTTAATTAGTTTAAGTGATCAATGTGTCTTGATTATGGGCATTAGCATTGTGTTTAAAAAATGCAGTGATGGTTTGTAAACTGCCAGGTTTGCACAGTTTTTTTTTTTAGTCTAAACTAAATTCTAATGTTTGAAACAGTACAGGATTTTTGCTTATTTGTTTTCCCACTGCATACGTAAAACACATGAGTGATGTTGTTCCAAGCTCCACCTTTTTTAACCGTGTATATATTCTGTTTTGAAGGTATGGCCTGTTTGAAAAAACTCTGGCCATGCTCGAAGAGGCCGAAGGTGGCTACGAACAATTCACACGCAGCTATATGTCCTTCGGAGTTAACAGACAGCCAGACGGCGGTCTGTATTTCAAGGAGTGGGTTCCTGCAGCTGAAGCAGTGTTTCTAACTGGAGATTTTAGTGAGTATCAAAATCTGTATTGATAAAGATTTCTGGGGGTGGGGAGAAGGGACTGGCTCTGTCAAAGCAGTTAAAGGTGTGTTGCAGAGGAAACTTTTTTTTCTTCTCTTTTCAGGTCACTAACCTTTATAATGGAGTCTGCGTTTCAAAAATCAGCAGGTTAGAATAAATTATTTATAGTGGTCCATGCTAAGGCTGGAAGTTTAGTTGCTGTGATGAAGGTACTGCTGTATATTTATGAGCTGTTAGTGCGATTAAATCCCAATCTCTACCTTCCAGAGGGCAAGATTAGATAGGACTGTTTTTGATTTCTTTATAAATTTGAAAACAAATTTAAAATCAGCTCATGATTACTTTACCTAGAAATCTCACTCTATACTTAATGCAATGAATAAAGGTAGAATTGTCTATGATAGTTATTTTCTACTGCACACCTTACCTACTGTATAATAAGTTGAAATCACAGATTGTAGTGAATTTTTATACTGTCAGTATGCATTGTTATACTACCAATGCCTTAATTATAGTGCTGCTTTGTTCTTGTTGTAATTATCTTCACCTTCTCTTATTTTGAGTTTTGTCAGCCTCTATGTTTATAAAATAGTCAAATGTATTTGGCCACATGAATTATGCCTTTAGAGAAATACAGTTAAATAAAGATTGGTATAACATTATAATATCAGAAATACAGGACTAAAATATATCCCATGTGTAACATAATTCATGCATGCTAAAAATTATGTTCTAGGCATGATATACAGTGCCCCACTTTTCATTTTTTTATTAGTTAAAAAAGTTTCAAAAATCCAATAGATTTCGTTCCACTTCACAATTGTGTCCCACTTGTTGGTGATTCTTCACATAAAATAAAAAAATTATATCTTTATGTTTGAAGCCTGAAATGTGGCAAAAGGTTGAAAAGTTCAAGGGGGCCGAATACTTTCGCAAGGCACTGTACAGTACCTGTATACACAATACAATAGATGCAGTAATTGCTGTATATCTAATGAATAGATAATCACTGTCACACATCACCTAATTATTCCATGAAGTTTTCCTTAATTAGCTGTAAACTATGGTAGTTTTAATGCCTAAAAGACAAATGTAATGTCAAAGTGGCTGAAAATATTGTATACAAAGAAGTACAGAAGCAAGATCAACTTTAAAGAAATGCGTGGGAAAAGGTACGTGCCAATCTTGGAGCACAAGTCAGATATTTGGGAAAATGGAAAGATGAATTTTTCAGGAGGTAAAAACCATGGATAAATGACCAGGTCCTACTGTAAATTTTTAATGAACTTTTAAATATCAGTTCCTAAGAGTACAAGTTCAATGACCTCTAAATAAGCAGTGCAATTTTTACACAAGTCGATATTGCGGATTTGTTTTCAGGGAAATACACAGACTCATACCACATGCTATAAATTGCCTCCAGAGCAGGGACTAGAGTTCTCATGGAGTAGAAAACAAGGCCATTGATGAAAATTGATACCTGCGATAGTGTATGGTGTCCATTTAGCTTTAGTACCATGAGATCGTACAGAGAGATGTTGCATTGCCTATACAGTACGTGCTGTTGAGGGGTCTCACTGATGCGGAGCAAGTTCTTTAACAAGCACGAGTGCATAGGAATTGGGAAGGGGCGGGCATGACGAACTGTCCAACCATGGAGGAAAGCAAAAAGTGAGAGTGGATATAGGGATCTGGAGTGAGCAGGGTATTGACCAGGCTGAGAAGTGGAATTCATGCAGATTTACCAGTATAAAATATGAAAGTGGGATCATGTGGGGAGAATGGAGCAGATATAAAATGAAAGGTGGCATTTTGCAGAAGCAGGTTGGCTCATCCAAAAAGAGAGTTGCTGTAATTGAGTCAGTGCTTAGGGACAGGACAAGGAGTAGAGAAGAATATGTGGTGAGGGCAAGGGCAGATTCTGTAAATCCAGAAGAACAGTCAGGAGTGATACCAACAAAAACATTTGTTACATAAGGTGTGTGGGTGGGTGGTTGGTGGACTTTTAGAAGAAGCATGGATGAAGAGGGGAACATGTGAAAGGAAATGGAATGAATTGAAATAGGAGGTGAAAGAAGGGACAGAGAGGAGTTCAGGTTTTAAAGGTAGAATTTAAAGTGATGCAAGTTTGTCCAGCAGGAGACATCAGATCAGGAAAGGAGAGGAAGATCTGATTATAATTAGCATACAGTAGATGCAGAGACTCAAAAAAAGTATAGTGTGGTTATGTAAAGATGACACATATACATTTAGTAACGCTGAAATATACTAAGTTCTGGAGTGTTATTTCTTCCTTTTTTTGCCCATTGAAGTAGTTATTCATGATGCAATCAAATGTGCAGCTTTGGGGAGAAGATGTTTAGATCAAAGTAAAGCAGTCCATAAGAAAGCACAATTGCAGTGTGGGGATTAAAGCTTAGAATCGAATCAATAAGACCTCTGAGGCTTTTTGTTATGCAGTGCTACTGACAGCAAAGTATACATTGTATAAATGTCCATAAATATGACCAGGTTTCTGTAGGATTAATTTTATTATTGTATTTTTCTTAAAGGCTTGAGAGCGTTCAGATTGTGGTTGAAGGGTAGAGCATCCCTTTTGCACAGAGAAATCAGTTATTTTCATGGTTATGTAAGGCCTTGGTTTTGCAAATCAAACTGTTCTGAAGTTAATGTGGGATTTCCTTTTGAAATCTTTGGTTTTATGACTGGATCAGCCTTGTCATTCCTTTTCACAAGCGCTTACTGTGAAAGGTGGCAAAAGCATTGTGGCTTTAGGGCTAAATATCTGTAAACAGCAGAGAAAAACAAGAGATGTAGCTAATATGTATGCAGAGTCAGTAGGAGTTACTTATGCTCTTTTGAAAAGCTTAGCATTGGTATTTCTTTTTGCAAATGTACAATTGTTTTGGGGTGACCTAAACATACTAGAAAGTGGATTTCCCAACTTCTGAGTCATGGCTAGTTCATATGCCCAATCATTAGAAGGTACAGTACATTTCCGTCTTCTTTCTGTATCTTGCATCTTCCTGTTGTGGTTTTAAGACTTCTCTTAGATGTAGGCTGGAGTCCGTATTTCAGTACCAAAATACTGAAATACAAAATGCATTAGCAATACCTCAGACAAACTCAAATGTCAAACATTTCTGTTTGTGCTTGGCTGTAATGTGAAGCCCCTTTTAAAACTGTAGTTCCTAGTTTTTTTTGCTGTCTTTCACATTGGCTGAAAATAAGTACACTTTTAAGCATTATTATTGCTGTCTATTATCTTTGTTCTAAATTTGTGCAATAACATTTTAGATTAATCAGTCTGTGGAAAGGGAATGGGTATTTTATTTGCTTAATAATATTTATTGCAATAAAGCTGTAGCTCTCTGTAGCGCATGTCCTTTCAGATCAAATTGAGCACTTTCTGAAGCACATTGCACTGATTGTAAAGCAGAACAATGGAGCCTGCCGAGTTTGAGGCAATAATGTCGATTTAGTGGTTGATTGAGTCAGGTTATTTCTGTGTTCATTGCCTAAAAGCATTATGCTATAAGTACCTCTAAGCTCTTGGTATTTGTAATAGATTTCAGTTAATTGGAGATCAGGCAGTTAGAGGAAGGAAGTATCTTGAGAAATCAAACTCTCTGGTGTCCAAATTCATTCTGCATTGTACTCTAATCTCAGTTTGGGTTTTAATAAGATGTACATGTACATTCCCTGGTGAAAAATATTAATGCCACCCAGATACAACCTAATTTGTCTTAGTCAGACCTCAATTCTTGGACACTGGAAATGTGTGTGTGGTGATGGGTAAAAGATCACCTTTTTTGCCTACCTTATTCAGCTGCCAAGGAGTTTTGAGTAATTCATTCTGTGTAGTTTTCACATGACAGTTAAGGCAGCATAATCAATATGCTATCTTTTGATCTGGCAGGTAATAAAGAGAGCAAAACATAAGATATTCCAGTCTGATTTGCCTTTTAATATCATACATGACTTTTAAAATAAGTCTTTGAATCTGGAGTTCCTTCATATGACCTTGCCTTCTCTGCTACAATCAAAATGTGGTATACCATATACTGTATATTAAAGACTACCTGAGTAAAGAAAAGTCCATTTCAGATCTTCTTTAAATTTAAATGTTGTTTCTAACTGGGATCCGTGTCTAAAGAAAGTCCCTAATGCATCCATGCAATTTGTTAAATGTCATTAGTTGGGCAGATGTACTGTATTGACTTTAACAGCAAATACTTAGAACAAAACCATTCCATTTCCTTTGTTTTTTAGAGGTCTGTTTTTTTTAAAGGTTTGAAAGGTTTATTGTTACACGATGTACAACCTATGTTAAACACTGACATGTTTAAACACTGTTCTGCAAAGCAGGTACGCATACCGTAAGAAATTCCAGTATATAGTTTTGTAGATTTGTTTACCGTTCTTGAAGTGTTTGGTGCATAGAAGGATGGGTGGAATGCTGTTATTCCAGAGTTATTTGGAATGTCTTCACACTTTATATTTATTCAGTCTTCTCTAATTAGATGTCCCTCGCCACTCCTAGCTTCTGTTTCAAATTATCTGCACTGATCTTTGGGGCTTTAGTTCACAGATATGTGAATTTTGTTGTTTAGAGCTCCAGGCAGTATTGTTTCTACCAGTAATATACTGTACCAGTTTCATTAAAACTCAAAATCTGAAAGGTCCAAAGAACATAATCTGGGAAGGAAAACCATATTCAGAATATCCATATTTCTGTGCTTGATGATGGAAAGGAATTAGCAATCTAAATGTAATAAATGTTTGAAAATGTTAATATTAATAAACTCTCAAACCACACGCAGTGCTCCTCAAGGAAAGCAGAATCTTGGTATTTTGGAGCAAAACTTTTTTTACTGTCATTTTGCAGACACGAAGAGATTCAAAGTGTTGCAATTAACTACACTAAATAGCTGTGTAAAGAAGGCAGATTCATGTTTACCTTGTCTCTGTGCTTTCTGATTGGCACA